AAAATTGCAATGGCCAAAATCCAATATGGTTACGACCAAGTCCAAGATGTCGATGCTCCATAAAAGCAAAATGGAAACAACCAAATACACGAAGATGGCAATGGCATAAACACCAATCAAAAGCTTAATAAAAGTACTTCACAAACAAATTGGTGACGGTAAAGTGACTACATCCACTTCTTATAGGCTGTCTTTGCCAGTTTCAGTTTCTTTTATAAGGAAACGGAAGTAAAAAAAATTGTTTCAGGGATTTTTGGAGCCGATCACGTGATTTTCAAAAGATCGGAATCGGGAGAAAAAAATCGGGGATCGTTTTTTTCAATGTTACAAAACAAAAATGACCATGTTCAAGTCTTAAAGTCATCCTGAGGCCTTAGTTTTGGTTTCAATTACAGACATCATGTATGTGTTGCTTCTTTGGGGCTTGTTTTCATAGACCTGCTTATTTCTCTCAAATCTGGCAACAGAGTGGGCGCAGTGTCTAATTGTAGCAGCAAGCTAACGAGTACTGATAAGCTTTATTTTGTTTTGATCCAATGCTGCACAACTGAACTGATCCAATGCTGCTGTGAAAGAAAGAAGCTATATCCATGTTGGATAGAATATCCAATTTAAATAAAAAAATAACCTTAAGGGACAACTTCAATGCTTCTTTCTCTCTTAATGCATTGCATAAAGATCGGATCGGGAAAAATCGGTATCGGCAAATTGTCAAAATCAAATGATCGGAATCGGATCGGGAGCAAAAAAAGGTGATCGGGACATCCCTAACACAACATTTCCCGCTCTGCTCAGGTGGAAGTGGAAGGTTCTGGTCGTGGATGAAGCTCACAGGCTGAAGAACGCAAACTCGCTGCTGCACAGAACTCTGACGCAGGTACTGAGCTGCGTAGAGACTACCTTTTATCATACTACTTTATATTAGTGCTAATCTGTATCTTCTGGTGTAGTTCTCTGTGGGCTTCCGGGTGCTTCTGACGGGGACTCCGATCCAGAACAACCTGCAGGAGCTCTACTCCCTGCTGAGCTTCATCCAGCCGGACGTCTTCAGCGCCGAGGAGACGGACGACTTCTGCAGCAAATACGCCAACGTGCAAAACCAACCGGCTCTGGGTACGATGCCACTTCTTCTTGTTCGTGTTTGTGCGAAAAAAATAATTAAAGGTAGAACAAAAGAAAGGTTAGAGAGAGGGAAAATATAAAAAAACATGATATAGTCTTTAAGATTTAAGTGGTTAATTAAAAAAGTAAGTATTCTTTTAGATTTATTTACACACAGAAAATCACACATTTAAAAATATTTCTAATTTTAAGTCGTTCAATTACAAAAAATTGTCACAAATACATAAGTAAAAAAACATGGATATTCTCCAAGATCAAAGATAATAATAATAATAATAATACATGGAATTTGTATAGCGCTTTTCCTAATGCTCAAAGCGACGATGACGATTTAAAAAAAACAACTTAAATATTCTCTGGTTAAAAATGATTTTATTTAACACGAAATAAATTGTCTTGGACATTTTTTAATTTTTTTAGAACTAAATATTACACCCTTTATAACCTATGTGTGTTAAGCTCCTATGCCCCTTATACGCTTGAATACGTGTCCAAACAGGCCTCTCTAAACTACACCCGGCACATGGTGTGTCCCTCACATCGGGGACGCTGGGAACATGTCTCCACCACTTTGCATTGGGATAAACTATTGAAACTGTTCTGAAAATATCGCACGGATAACCTAACCTTGACCCTTGACCTGTCCCCAGCCTCTGCGCTGCAGGGCGTGCTGGAGCCCTTCCTGCTGCGCAGAGTGAAGGCCGAGGTGGCCGTGGATCTGCCCAAGAAGACGGAGCTGCTGGTTTATCACGGCATGTCGGCGCTGCAGAAGAAATACTACAAAGCCTTTCTGATGAAGGACCTGGGTGAGGCTGTAGTGGTATCAGTACTGGGAGCTAAATACTCTGATTGAAGGATTCATCAGCTAACAGTCATAATATACAAACAGCCCTTTGACCAATCCCTTATTTATTTTATATTCCAACCAATATACTTACGGAGCAGGTTCTTCTGTAGTTTCTATTCTGGAAACTTTACAACTTTGACACTGACTTTGTTTACATGCATCATAATATTCAACTAATATGAAGAATATTGCAGTGTTTCCCAGACATTGATTTATTTGTGGCGGGCCGTCACAATTAAATATCGTCCGCCACAAATGGATCTCATAAAAAAAAAGAAGTTATTATTATTATATTTTTTTATTTGTTGGTGGTCTAATGGATAGTGAGGTGGGCTGATGATCGGAAGGTTGCGAGTTCAAATCCTGCCTGGAACACCACTACTAGTGTGCCCTTGAGTAAGGCACTTAGCCCTCGGTTACTCCAGAGAGAATGTCCCTGTCATTGGTCATTAAGTCGCTTTGGAATAAAGCGACTGCTAAATGCCTGAATTGTAAATGATATTTTTATTTTTGGGAGATTAAACCCCACAGATCCTCGACTCCGGTGTGTCTCACTCATTAACAACGCAACACAGAGCAACAAGATCGTTGTCTACAGTAGCCATGAACTCGCATGTATTATCTTATTTGAGGGGGGGGTGGATGCGTGGACCACCTGAATAGGTTAAGGGGCCTTTGGCTTTTCTTGCCGTGTGCGGTGCCCCCACAAATAGAATCAAATTCTGTGGGAAAC